CAATTGAAATTATTATTTTTAACTTCAATAAAATTAATTATGTCAATTTTAGCCTCTCCATTTAGAAAAGTGCCTAGTATTAAATTAAAAAAATAAAAATGAACTTACATTTAGAAGAAATTCAATTTAGCTTCTCCATGTTAAAAGCTCGCTTTTTGTTTCTTTAATAACGAGAATCTTGTATAATATCTAAATCATTTTGCCTTTTCAACTCTCATTTTTCAATATTGCATATTATTGCTTTCTCATGAGAGGAAAAAAGCAGATCAAAACAAAGGTTCTGAACGCAGCAGCAGTTATTAAATTTTCACTCGCACATTTTTCATCGCCATATTTCTCTGGTCGGGTCGACGCGGAAAAGCTCCTTCGCCCATTCTTTTTCAACTTCTCTCCTCAGCATGTGATAAAAGCATCATCTCTTCTCCAGGGCGGCGTTTTTAATCAGCGACTCTCTTTACATTGTCACTTTTATTACGTCTTATGCGCAATTTATGAGCAAATAATCCTTTTTCCGACCGGCGGCGTCGGTCGCTCTCCTTTTAAATAAAATCCAGGGGCGGCGTATTTACATTCGGGGGGTGGATTAGAGCGAGCGATGCCCTCGGGGGGATGTAAAAAACTTTGCAAGACCCATCTGGCACCGAAATTGTGGTCTCGGCGTGCGTGTGTGCACTGCTACTCCCACACATACATACATACTCTCTCTGTGCGCAATCAATAATTTTCAATTCGGTCCTCTCAGATAAATGAATGAATATGACCAGGGGCGGTTTTATCTTTCCAACTCAGATGCAGCGGCCGGCTGCCAATTGGTACCATTCCTCGCTCTATCGCCATCATTAAAATGTTTCAATCAATCTCGGAGAGGGCTCTCGGCTCCAATATCAAATAGAAATCGGACAGAGGATGAATTGAACTGATTTTCATTGTCTGCTCTTACGTTTGGAAAAGTGTATAAAAATAGTATTTTAATTAAAATTTGAAACCACTAGAGGAAAAATGTACAAAATATTTGCATTTTTTTTTAATAAACAAGAGTCTTATTTAACTGCAAATTTCCTTACATGTTTAATTATAGAAATGCTATATAAAAATGTCAGCTTTAAAAACGATGGAAAATTATTCAATTAAAGAGACGATAAAAATGACTTACTTTTCACATACAATTAGTTCTCGGAGTCCCCCTTTTAGTTGGTCAAGTTGAATTAATTTTTTTTAAATGTAAAATGTAAATAAACATAACATTTCTTTAATAGATTCCAGACTCCAATTAGCTAATCATTTTACTGCAAAAAGGGAACAAATTGGATTGATTTGGTTCTTGTTCTTATCAATTTTATTTTCTTTCCAAACCACGGTCTTAAACATGGAATAAATCCACTTTATTTCTCTCAAAGTCAATCAGCCTGGATATAGATTTGCGAGAATGTCATAAAAATAGCTCTTTAAACTTTTTCATGCGACTTTCCTTCCATCATCCTCAGTCAGTTTTAGCACTAAAGTTTTCATCAGCTTTGCAACAATCGAAGGGCAATGTGGTGACGAAGAGAACTTTTCCATCTTTATTTTGCCAAGCCGCAAAGTTGGGTCGGCCAGACCAGGCTCTCTCACTGGAAAACAAAAAAGGAGATAAGCCTTTTACTTATTGGCAGGGGCAAATTGGCGCAACTCGGCGTGGTATTCAGCAGTGCGGCTGATTTCCTCTCTCGGGCCGGCGGCGGCAGAGCTAGAGGAATAAGGCAGAAGGTTCTCTCTCTCCGCTCTAATAACTGGTCAGGCCAAATCCCTTCTTCCATTCTCTGTGGAATCGCGTTTCGCGCCCCACGGCCCTTGTTAAGCTGCCGCGCCCCGGATTAAACTTACTTTTGTGCACGCGAAAATTAAAAATTACGCTCGCTGGCAAAATGGGCCGACAAGTCGACAACTGCTGTTACCACATCGTTATATTGAAAATTTATTCAAATTAAAAGTAAATACACACACGAGATTCGCCGCGGGGTGCGAACGCCAAAGCCGACTGGGTGCGCGCCAGAGTGATTTATTGTTTCATTTCTCGGCTGCACTGCACGCTCTCGACACTTGTCCGCACCGAATTCCCGTGGCTATTCGGCAACGAGTTTAAATAATGGTCGTCGCTGCGTTTCGTGCAATGGCCATTGGAAAAGGGGTGGATAATTTCAAAAGCAAAATATCGTTGCCATGGACCATTTTGTGGGGTTATTTTTGTGCGGAATAAAAGTTTAATCACACGGGGAAGTCATCAGCATTATGGTGTCAATCGACAGACAATGCAAACAATTACTGCATATTACAAAACAAAAATGTAGCTTTTGTTCATGCTTTAGAATAATATAGCATCGTCCCCTGTATGAATTATACATAATAAGTCTAAAAATTTGTGTATTTAATTTTAATTTACAGATTTTTTGATAAATCAATTTAGAAAAATATTTATTTTAAAGTTACTTAATAAGAAAATATATTACTTAGCAATTTACATTATCTCAGAACCATGCAAACAACCTGGGTTCAGAAATTCATTTTTGATATTATTAAATTGAAAGAAAAATATTTTTTTTTATAGTAAAGGGATACATTGAAATTTTTAATGAAAAATATTTGATTTGTAAATAAACTTTCTTTCTTGTAGGTTAGATTTTCTCCCAGATAATTTAAAAAATACAAAAGCAGTCACAGCAACAATTACAAAACTTTAAAAAAGACTGAAGGCTGAGAACGAGAAAATGACTTGTTGCGAGATGATAAAGGAATGGAATTCTTATTAAATTTAACTGAATTGACGGACTATTATAAAATGTTGAATGAAACTAGTGGAATTCATTAAATCATCAGTCTAAGTGTCAAAACTCTCTAATCAAAGTGCAAACCTGCCAGATTAATATTTATTTCCAATCTGTTGGTGAACGAACGAACGTCACCTTGCGAAAATTGAATTCGGGCCGTGATTAAATCGGTTCGCGTTTCTCTCGCGCGCGGCAGTCGGCGGAGCAAATTAATAAGGCGCACCAGCTTCGCCTCGAGTGCAAGACAAAGAGCGGCACTGTGTCGCAATTACTAATTTTGAGCGCTCTCATCTGCTGCTCGAAGCGAAAGAGAAAGAGACGGCGGCGCCTGACGTCGCGCGCGCGTGTCGCAAAGTCGTACCCGTTTTGTGACAAAGGGAAAAACCTTTGTGCTATATACATGCCCGAGTGTTACGGACTAAACGTGAAATTGCACGTCACTCAGAAACTGCTTTTGTTTCTCGCATAAATTAATTAGAATGTATGAAAACGAATTGATTTGGGAAAATTTGTGCTTAATTTAACTGTCACGGCTTCAATACCACAAAACGTGCACTAATTTAATTTTAATTAATAGAAGATGTAATTAATAAGGGTTGGGTCACTCAAATTAAAAAGCTCATTAGGCAGTGATGGTTATAAAATAAAATTAAGAACATTAGGCAAATTTCGCTTTTGGTCTTGGAAGATGCTATAAAATGAAATAAAATACCATACTCGGATTAAATTAAAACAGATCCCGTTTCTTGCAAAACAAAAATTAACAAATTTTATAGAGCTATATTATCATGATCAACTATGATCATAAATTAGTTGGGAAATTAGGTCTGGTGGTAATAAACACATTTTGCAATCAATCAAGATCAGCCAAAATATACAATTGTGCGAAATAACTTTTCTTTGAAAGTTCTTTGAAATTATTTTCTAAAAATTCCCCTAATTGCAGTTGCAGATAATCAAATAATATTTTGGTGAATTTAAAATCTGTTAAAAAGTATTTTTAAAAACATTCATAAATCCAGTTAAATGTATACCTCAAAAGATAGCAACCGGCATTTTTCAATACATAATCTAAGAGCGTCAGTTTCCTGAATGCAAGTAGAAGAATTTCTACTAAAGAAGCTTTTCTATTTGGAAAAAATAGATCCGCCGATTGGCGATTGAAAGTTTCCATTCGTCAGCTAAAGGCGGAATCGCAATCTGATTTCTCTCGGTGGCTCCGAGCTCTTCTCGCTCCAGATGGCAAATCTCTTCAGAGAGTGTTTCTGCAGCGTCGGCAGCTTTTCCTGTTTGGCGACAAATCCGAGACCGTTTTTGCTTGCCAGTGTGTGTGTGCAGCTGCACATTTTGCAGTGTGCATAAATTGTGCCGAGAGCTCTTAATCCGAATTAAATTGGCTGGCGAGGCATTGTGAAATTTAAGCTGCCTCTAGAGTGTTCCCAACCAACCCAACCACCTTAATATTAACAAGACAGCACACGGGCTTGATTATTGTCAACAAAGTAGCAAACAAGCTGCCTGGCAAACACGCGGAAAATTGAATTTGGATCATGAGAGAGTGAGAGACACCGTCGCACACACGCCAAAATTGCTGAGTATCGGCTCACGCCTCACGGCTGCAAGATTCGCATCACAGATAAAATTACATCAGGCAATCTGTTTACATATAAACTATCTTCTCAAGCTTGCGAAATTTGTGGCATAAACACGCTTGTAAAGAACTTGGATTATATTTTAATTGAAATTACTATTTTTGTTAGAATTAAAATTTGACGAAATAGATGAAAAATATTTCACCAATGTTTAGGTTCCACTCAAGCCTTGATTATCAACAAAGTAATCGCAGGTATGGCGGTGTTTCGCGATTTCTTAACTCTTTGATCAGCCTGTAAAGTCACGTCAAATTAAATACAAATAAGCCTTCTGTAATTGGATTTTTGAACGTTCTTGACGACTCAAACACAGTAAAAACCTCTAAAAAAATCACTTTTATGACTATGAGCAGGGTTTTTTTTAATGATTTTATTGATATCCATTGAAAATATTTGCAATTTATAACTTTTTCTGAAAAAAACACCCTTCCCGCCTCACCTGGGGTCACCACATGACTTTACCGCCAGAAATTAAATTAACAGATGATTGGTAAAAGTCACGTGATTGGTCAACCAATAGCTTTCATTGCTTACCCAATCCGTGACCCGTGATAAACACGCCAAATCGTGGAAAAAAGACACGTGTTTGGTATGTCCCAGTGTCATTTTAACGCAATTTTTTTCCATTTAACTTTTGAAAAACTGTTGAAAGTGAATTTTACGAGTATCTTCAGTGCTGCGGAATGATTTTGTGCGGTGAAAATTCGGCGGAAGTAGCGAAAATCGACGATCAAATCGTAAAAACTGAAATTACCGGACCAGGGCCTGGGAGCTATGGCGGCCGACAGGGGTGATATTTTCGCCCCGTGAGGTTTTCCCGTTTCAAAGGGTAAGAAAAAACTCAGTACTCTCCGCGAGAGTGTAAATCCGTCGCGCTCATTGTGCGTGGCGCTCACACCCATCACATCAAGCATAGATCAAACGGGCGAAATATGCAGCGTGTTTACAAGGAGCGAATCGTGTGCTGCCTTTATTAAAAAACTTGGTTGCGAGCGTCGGCGGCAATATTGGGAGGAAGACGAGCCGGCGGCGGGCGGGCGAGTGAGCGACTCCTCCGCCGCTGGTTCATCATCGCCTATTGCAAAATAACATGGTACATTATGATATGGCGGGCGGGCTAATAAAACGCCCGAGAGCATCGACTCCATTAGAGCTCCTCCGCACACGCATTCGGGCTCGGCGAAATGAATTTTAATTAATTTCCAGTACATAAGCACTTTGTTGCGGATGCGCGGCGGCAAGTCTGGAGAAAATTCGCTTTGGAATCGCGCCAGGAAATTGAGTGTTCGCCAAATTAAACGCGCGTACATACGTAATGAAATACTTATAAACAAGGGTCTTCTTGCATGTGAAGCTCTTCCTCGTCAATCGGTGAGAATTAAATCTTTTTAATGTAATCTGAATAGTTTCCTTATTAAACTAAGTTGAAATACAACATTAAAAAAACTGATTTATTATAATTTTTAGTTTCAATTATTCACTTTTTATTTTTTGAAATTGTTTAAAAACAATGTTATATTTTTCTAGGAATGCAGTCGAATGCCGCAAGATCGTATTTGAATATGCATCATAACCTTCACAAACACAGATTTGAAGCTGCCTCTGGGAAAAGTTGATTGCCGCGAATTAATTATGTATATTTACAAGCATTCCATTCACGCGCCCAGAGGCTTATTCCGGATTTGCAGAAGCTTGTTGATTACAATCAGACAATTTTCATCATTAACTTGGAACGCGTGAAACGGAATCTAATTAATTAAGCACCCTCCGGACAAGAACTCTCAAAGTTTTCGCGTCCCTATCGGCTCGAAAATAAAAAAGTCAAATAAAAGATATCGCGCTAAAAGGATTGCCGTCGAGTAATTACTTTGATGAGCTGCGCGAATAAACAGACCGTGAGCTTAAAAAAAATCAAAGCAACCCTTCCCGGTGATTAGTCTTATTGAAAGGCAGCGTCCGTCCGTCCGTCCATCAGTTCAGCGGAGTTTTCGCCAAATTTTAATACACACGTATATGCACAACGGCCGACGCTTTTGATTAAATTTCCTCCTCTGCTGATTGCTTTTTTGATAGTGGTGTGAGCGCGTCGACGGGCAAATTCAATCATTTCTGCCTTGATGCGCCGAACGGCCAGGAGCTACTCTGCTTACAAAATTTACAATGTATAAAAAAAGAGAAGAAAAATTCGTTTATGGTTGGCACGTTTCATTACCCCATGCAGTCGGACTATTAATATATTAATATTGCTTCGTAATTTTTCATTTCAGATTATTAAGCTGTTTTTTTTCAAACCTTTTTTAAACTTATATTGCGAATATTTCAAAAAATTAATCTCACAAAAATATGTTAGTGCAATTATAATGTATAACATGCCAGGATTAAATTAATATAATGATCAGATTTGAGGCTGATATTAATATCTGGATGGTACCACTTTTTTCTAAGTAAAATAATATTAACTTGAAATTACAATAAAAAAATAAAATAAAAAATTATTAACGGATTGAATGCCTTTCTTGTTTTTGAAATAGTCGATGCTCCAGCAATGTACTTGCATTGACAATTATTTATATATTTTTAATAAATAAAGAAGTGTGAATGGAGCCATTTTTTACTTACAATTAGTAAAAAGTAAACAGAGACACTTGGTAGGATTCTGATTCCTTTTACCACAGAGGGGTGGTTTTTCTGCCGGCACCCAGGTGGGCGACAAAGCAGATAAAAGAGCTCTCGCGCCGGCGGAAATGAGCGAGAAATTCCATCACAGGCCCAATGCGAAAAGAGGGGTCAGGTAAATCAAGGGCGGAAACTTCGCGGCCGGCGCAGCCAGGAAATGAGGTTTTATTATTTTTTTTTTCAAAGGGGTGCAGCGAAAGAGGGCCCTCCTTACTTTCTTCCTCGCTCACTCACATGATACGCATTTCGGTCTCAAATATCAACACAATGAAAGAGAGCTGGCGGCGCGCTCGCATATAAATTCACAAGGTACATAGAGAAAAAGAGAAGAGCTGCGGCGAGGCATGAATTATGGATCAGTATCACAGAGAGAGAGAGAGAGAGAGAGAGAGAAAGAGAGGCCAAAAAGAGAGGAAGAGCTGGAGGCTTCGAGCCGAAAAGTTCAAAGTTGCCTTTTCAAAGAGAGCGAGCAGTCGAATTCCGTTCGCGAAAAAAGAGAATTACGCCACTTTTGAAAACGAGTGAGAGACACTTCGAAGATCAATCAAATACCACCATCAAATACGTGTTCTCGCAACTACTTTACGCTACAGTGAATCAGAATTATAAAGAAAAGGCAGAAACTTGGTGCAGTAAAAAAATTTGAGAGTTATTAAAGGATACATTAAAACACTTACACAGTTGGTCACTGAATAAAATATTATAAAAATAAATAAATTAATTTTAAAATTCAATGGCGCATAATAATATTTTTATTTCCCTATCAATTTCAAATTTTTCAAAGGTAGTTTTTTTCTAATCCCCATTGAAAAGGAATTCAGATATTTAAAAAAAGTATATTATATAGTTTTGAGAAAATAATTAAAATAAAAGCAGTTTTGTTTTAGTAACATAGTTTTAAATTTAGATATAATTTTTTCGTGAGTCAAATATTACCTCTTTGTGGTTCCTTAATGTTAACCCTTTTTAAGGTTAGCCAACTAAAAACTCTGCTTAAACGTAGCATGCTTCTGAATTTACAAAGGCATTTATCCTTTTTACAAAGGTTTTAAAACTTTTAATGATAAACTACTTTGAAAATTTGCAAATACTTGTGTTTGTTTTCCATTATTAAATTCCAAATGAAATCGAGCCGGGGTGAACGGTTTAGTAATTAAATTCCCGCTAGGATGGTGCCCATAGCATGAAAGGGGAGATATTGGAAACTGCACACAGCTATTTGCAAATGAAGCTCTTTTCAATCGACGACGACTCTAGCGGAATCCCTTAATACGCAAAGTAGCGTCAAGCCGACTTGTAAAATCAATTTCATTTTGCTCTCTCTCGCTGATCGGAAAGCTCTTTCTCTCTCTTTCGCTCAGCGCGCTTTTTCATTTCCAACTATACTCGCGGAGAAAAGAAAAGAGTCGGAGAAAAGAGAGGGAATCTATAAACCCGCTTCTTCTTTTGCTGCGCGGCGGTTGATTTCTCTCTCTCTCCGCTTTTTTCCAACCAATCTCCCGCTACACAAGATTGTAATTTCCGAATCTACTCTGCCTCAGAATTTTTAATCCAAAGCAGCTTGTCTTTGATCAAAAATTAATTCGATTTAGGGGAGTGAAAAAGGCCAGTTTTGTTTCTCTTTCGCATGCTAATATCCTGACGATATCGATCGATTATGGCCGTCGAGTGTATGCAAATCTAACCGACGGTTTGTGTTTGTTTGCAGATTCAGATGTCCCGGTGGAAAGCGAAACTGCCAATCATGGACTGTTCGCCGCTGCTGCTGCTAATCGCCCTCTTCTTTGTTTTCCTGCCTTCAGCAAACTCGGCGCGACAGCTTGGTGAGTAAATCGCTTTTGGTTGCTTGCTTGCTCTCCGTAGTGACTTAATTGAACAGTCCTAAATGCTGGAATATTTGCATCCGCTTGGTGCAAATTAGTTTGAACAGGTATCAGAGGCAGAAATGTCCTTTGATAATATGAAATTAATTTTGACTTTATTCAAAGATTAAAGAAATTTGGCACATATATTTGAAGGCAATTAATAAAAAAATAATTAATGGAAATTTGGGAAGTAAATTGAATTTAATAAACAAATATTATTTGAACTTTAAACTTAATTGCATAAAGAGAAAATGATGTCTCACGTCTGAAAAATTTGATGATATAAATTTTTTTTAAATGTAACCATACCAATTTTAATCTATATGAAGTTATAATTTCTAAATGTGCTGACTGTAATTATTATAACCCATTTGATTCTTATTCGGGCAGCAGAAAAGGTAAAAATGCGAAAAAATTTGAGCGTATTCAAAAAAAGTAGATTTAAAATGCATTTTATTATTTCTGTTTTTAAGTTTTATATATTTTGCTACACTCATATTTTCTAGAATCCATTGCTGTTGGGAGAAAAAGATATTAATTTCGCTCCTTTAAATTTTCCATTACAATACATAGAGATTTAGATTGCCATGAAATGTAAATATTTCTCGGCTATTTGCTGAACAAGCTACATTTACAAGAGGCAAAATAATATCTTTCTTCGCAGAAAAGAATAGTAAAGAACAGATCACATTTTTAGTTGTGAGACGAACGAAAAAAAAATCGATCGCCCACCATCAAAATTCCTCATACAAGCTTGCGGACCATTTGCTCGAAACGCTTCGCCGTTTGTCAGTGCGGAGAAGAGAAAACTCATTTTCATTTTGCAACAGTTCCAACTTGAATATTGCGCCGGCTGTTGGGTCTCTCGTTAATTAATCAGCTCGCTTCTTGGCTCGAGCGTGGCATTTGCATGCCAAGGGACGAATCGTCGTGCAGGCGAGAGAAATGGCGAGTTTTGGCAGGTCGGTCTTATTTCCCTCAATATGCCATTAATTAGGGAACGGAGCTCTTTGTGTGCGAAACGGAGACCCCCCACGCGAAAACGACCGCAGCTCAGTGTGCGGTCACTTTGCAAACGCCGGCGCAATAATTGTTAAGGTGTTGTTTCTGCGCCCGTGTGGTCGTTAAGTACACACCCGTCGTCTACTTTTATTGCTGGCAGAGCAAACCTGTTTCGCTCTCTTGCCGTCTCAGCAATTTCCTTCTTGTTTGTTAAGCCCATCATCGAAAAAGCAGCCGGCAAATTTCGTTCACAAAGCAAAACGAGAGAGACCTGGATTATGAGACGAGAGCGGCCCTCGAAAGGTCATTAGCTTCGGCGAAAGTGAACGCACTGAAGGGAATAACAAGCGCCGCAACCCTCCTGAAATGCCATTGAGAGAGACGTGCGCGGCTGGTGTCCCTTTTTGCAGAGTCGGCGGTATTTCCATATCAACGAGCATATGATATAAACATGCCACAACGGATTTTGAATTTCAGGTTGTATATTGTTAAAAATAATGTAGAATTTTGGCACTTCAAAGGTATGAAGAATTCGTTGACAACTCAGATATGCTACAATGCCGCAATAATTTATTGCCCTGCGATGCGCCACTAAAAAAATTAATACCCATGCTAGTTCTTTTTATTTTTATTTTACAAAAATTTTTTAAGTTGACAACAATAATGCATGCTTCAAAAAATTCAAAATAATTTGAAACCAGCCAATTTGTTGCGAATCTTTAGCTACTTTTCTGCATTTAATTATAAATAATTTTTTTTTTTTAGAAATACAATCTTAATAATAATTTTATAGAAAAAATAAAAATTTTCTAACATTGCAATCATTTGGATAAGTAAATTAAATTTTCTAGAATCAGTAAAACCTATAGAGAAAACATTTTTTTTTTCAAAACATTAACGATTCTTATCAAATTTTGATGAGTTTAGTATCTCATTTTTAGAACTGTAAAGAAGATTAAGTTTCAAGTCCTCTTCTAAGGTAATGCATAATTATCTAATTCTGAACTTAGTTTATGACAAATTGACTCATCATATTGCAGACATTTTTTTTAAATTAATATTTTATTTCATCGAATTTTAATCTCATTTGAAGATACCTTATAAAATAATGCATCACTCCATTTTTTTTTTTTTAATTAAAATTACTATTAAATTTTAAAATTTTTTTAAATAAAAGAAATTTTATAATATTTTCAAATTTTCCTCTCTGCAGAAGAGCAAGTTTATATTCCGTCACTTTTCCTTGCGTTGGAGCAGAGTGGATTTTAAACATACTATTTACAGCAGAGGTATTTTTTTTCTACCTCAAAAAATAAATTTCGAGCGTGCAAGCAAACAGCCGCCGGTTGGCAGATTTTAGAGCACTCTGCGCACCATCAGAAAGGTTGCAAATTGAATCGAGTCGCGGACGGAGCGCGCGTATTTGCGTTTTCATCGTGCGGCCCTGGCTGTTATCAAATCAAAAAGCTACACGAGAGTTAATCCCATCACCGGTGGATCGTCGTTTTTATTTACACTCCACTTTAATTAATCCATTCAGTCGAGTTATTAATTGTAACACTCAGGTGCGCGTGCGATAATGGAAACGACGACGGTAAACAATGGAGTGATGGCATGGCTCTGAAAATAAAATCAAAGCAGAGAGCTGGAAAGGCTAAATCACGCACAAAGCTCAATATTTTAAAATTGGACAGTAAAATATTTAAATTTAGTCAATTTTTCATATTTGTCTTTTCTGTAAGCATAGAAATATTTGAAAAGAAATTGTAAGGGATCAGACCTTTGAATTTGATAATTATTTTATTTTAACTGAAAACCGCATAAAAAAATTTTAAAAAAAATTACTTAATTTAAGATCTTGTTCTGTTCTTTCAACAGCACAAAATGTCATGTCTTTTCTTAAAAAATATAAATATTATATAAACAAGGAGTAATTATAGAAAAATTCACGCAAATTGAAGTTGCAACAGTTCACGTTACAACGAATTTTTTTAAGATGCCTTGTGAATGAAAACAAATCTATATTGTTGTATTATTATTAGTTTTACAAAAATACAAAAAAAAATTTGGTCAATATTTTTATGAGTATGGAGGACGTTGGAATTTTCTTTGGTTTATATTTCGTTCAAAAATAATAGAATTGGTCCATGTTTTTTTTTACGCAGCCCAAGGATTAAGTTGAATTTTATCGTTTTCCACGCGAATTCCTCTTCGTCCACCACTCGTTCACTCTCAGTGTGTGCCAACCAATACATTATATTTATTTATACAGGCGCGCAGGCAGTTGGTTGGATTGTTATTTATCGCCCTCCCGCATCATCCGAATACAGAGCCTGCAGTGATACAAAGATTTTCGATTTATCTGCCCGCCGCTCGCTCGCTTGCCCGCCTTTCTATACATTTTGATTTCCTCTCTTTCCTTGTCAATAAAGTGCAAACACTCACAATAACATATCATCGCATGCGAGTTCCGGCTCCTTCTATTTTTCTGTTTCACCCTCCACGTCTCCGGTCTTTTCACAGATCCTTGAGAGAGCAACATTAAATGACAATTTGCAAATCTCCAGGCGAAAAAAACCATAAATTCCTGCATTGTATTTTTTCACAAACGTATGCAACCGGTACAACCGACCGGATGGGCCGGTTGCATAAACTCTCACTTTGTCGGCGAAAACTTCTGACTGATTGTGAGCGACGTCAATCATTTTTATACTATTGCGGTTTTTCTCTCTCTCCATAGATGTTTGCGTTGAATTTCAATCAGTGACCAATGAGGGCGAACAAGTTGGCTCTCTTTTTTGTGTCAACAAACGCAATTGGAGAGCGAATCGGCTCTCTCGACGAGCGGATAATTGAATTGGCTTGACAACGGGCAATATCCAAGATGGAAACTCTTGCAATTGTTCGCTATCTCTCTTTAGCGAGAGGTAATCGAGGCCGATGCACTCAAGAGCGGTTATTATGCAAAACTAGATGGGTATTTCGAACCAAAGCGCGGAGAAGGATGCAGTTGTTTGCCCAGAAAATATACTCTCTACTTCTCTCTGCGTTTGATATTTCAAACGAGCCGACTTTCCAACCCAATTACGACGAGGCAACAATAAAGCAAGAGATAGGATTTCAAGGGAAAACCATGCACTCCGTGATGCAATAAGTTGTCGAGAGCAGACTGATGAGATGGTTTTGCTATTGTGTGGAAATGGTCGAAGGTAGAATCTCTGATGAATAGGGCGAAAATAATGAACATTTTACAAATACAATAAGGTAGTTTTTTTCAATTAAAATGTTGCGCTTCTTTGGAAACAAATTTTAAGTAATTAAATAAACAAGCACATATTTTTATATTTATGAAAAAACTATGATTAACAAAAGTAATTACAAATCCTGGAAGTCCATCTCTATAGGCTCCCAAGTTTTAGCAACTTTTTAGCCATTCCTTCATATTATTTTATTCTAATTACCATCAGTAGAAAGTGCATTATTAATTATTCTTCTCAGTGAAAAGATAAAAATTAAACGTTTTTTTGTTTTGTTACATGAGTTTTTCAGACGTTTTTTATTGCATTTTTATCATGAAATATCTATATGGAAAACAATATAAATTTTATAACAATAATAATTTTATTATTTAATTATATTAAATGGAAAGAAGTATTATTTACATTTTTCATTGCAGGGTTAACACTATAAGTTATTTTATGGTTTTATGGACATAGGTTTCTTTGATTCCATCAAAAAATTATCGATGAATTACGTAAATAATACATAGGGAAGTATATTTCACTTCTTTTGTAACAGAAAAAGAAAATATCAGTGGTTTTGGTGAATAAAATAAAAGATGGTTTAAAAATCTCATTTTGAATAATGATCACAATATTTCCATTTTATATAAAAAATAGTTCATATTTTCCACTCTTCTTTAAATTTTTCATCAGGTAGAAAGTTTTGAATCTGACAACCAATTTTACAAATTCAGGTGCACGCGATGGAGATGAAGGAAGTTGTCAAAATGATGATTTTGCTCTTTAGTCGGAAACGGGAAGAGGCTCTCGAAGATTAGATTGGAAAACATCAAAATCAGCGAGTCGTGCGTAATTCGAGGCTTCGTGCTTTCCGATCCAAAACTTGCAGCGGAAGCAACAAATCTCGCCGCCCCCTGGGGGACCGCGGCGTGCATCTCATTAGGACGAGTGGCGGAGCTTGAGGTGCACCTTTCCACTTTGCAGCGCGCAAAGTGGGCCAGCAGGGTTGATTAATCTCCGTGAAACACGTCTCCGAGATTGCATAATTAATAAGGCAATAATTCAATTAGCACTCGCTCGACGAGTGTGTTTGGAGAAGGGGGTCGGTGCCGTGGGGGGGGGGGGGGGGGGCTCTAGCCTGAGTCGATCGCTGCCTGCTTAACTTGTCATTCCCGGCGGCACCAGTGTACATATAAATCGACCTTTTGCCTCGCACCTCTCACTCTAATTTATTATGCCCTAGGCAAAGTTTTTGCCCTTTGAAAGCGCCTCGGAAGCTGCGGAACGCACGCAGGCACCGGCCGCCGAGAATTTCGCACTTATTCCTTCCCAAACAGGGGCGCTTCGCACCAGCTGGACCTTGAAATATGAAACACAGACGCTCTTTTGATGATATGTTTTCTGATTTCTGAGCAACGAAAAAAAAATTGTGGCTTACACAATTTTTGGGCAAAATTAAAATTACTGAATAAGTTATTAAACCGGTAATTTTCGATGAATTTTTGAACAAAAATGTAATTAATAAGGTTGAAATGCTATAGTTAAAGTATAAGTTAATAATCACTATATAAGTGAATAATTTAGAGGAAATACAAATTCCCACAACTTTTTAAATATTGGCCAGTAAACACTTTAAAATAATTTTGAATAATTAAAATTTTAACAATCTGTTGAAAAACTACTTATTCTTGCAGACTTGATGATATGCTGGCTGATGATCGATAATAAACAGTGATAAAAACTTACAATTTGAAGCAAAATCGTACAGCACATATTGGTTTTTGAATTTAAAAAATCTCTTTTAAATGAATCAAATGTTTGCTTGCTAAAATTAAATCAGTCCCTTGAACTAAAATACTCTTATTTAGATTATGAAATAAAAACTTCTTCGTCTTTCTGATAATTTTATCTCCTCTTGAAACAAGTCAGAATCTGGTGTTCTACATTTTGAATATTCAATTTATTTCTGCATGTTCAGCTGATTCGGATCGGTTTCACGCTTGTCTTGTATATTGTTGTCAGTCCATTCGAATCAAAAGGAGGTGAACAAATGCTCGCTCGCAGTCGAGGCACGTTTGAAAAATTAGACGAGCGCCTGTTCTGTGCGCGCGAGAAGTAAACCGGCTGTCACTCGGAATGACAAATGCTGCCGACGCTGTTCTCTCACTCACTTCCATCGCACATTAATAAATATTATTTCATTCCCTCCTCCACATTAATGCAGCGCCGCCTTAAGTCGGTAATTGAGTGCCGCTATTTACACAAAGCGGGCGCATCTCTCGCTAATGGCTCACTCGAGTTCACGTGTGCCTGCGTGCACATGACTCGCGCCGAGTGGGTGGCAAATGGAGCCATGGTTTATTTTGGACGCCTCTCCGCGTGACTCACTCTCTCATGCTTTGGCACTCTTGATTTCCACGCATGCTCTCATTTCTCATTTTAAACAACACTATCAAGCTCAATTTAATTGATAATATTTATATGTTTAAAAATGTCTCTGGTAATGATGTAAAGGATTTTATTTGTAATATGGAAGGCAATGTTATTATGAAAATAAAAAATAAAAATAAATTAAAATTTATATACAGAAAAACGTTGAAAAATACATTGAAACATTAATTTATCTTCTTTGTTAGAACACAATTTTCTTATGTTAATTTATTTTTTATTTTTTAATTTTATAACAATAAATTTATAAGCATTATATAACACGCTTTATTTTATTTTTATGTTTTTCTCTTCCTAGTTGATAATTAACTTATAAATTCGTTCAAATACAACAAAATTCCGCGTTAAAACCAGACGCAAAATACAATTTCATTATTGCAAGGACATTTAAATTTGAATTATTTATTGCGATTGAACTGTCACAGGCTGACTCTAGAAATTTCCACTTTAAAAAATAAAACTCGCAAATGACGCCAGCGGCCTTCGGTTGAACAGGATGTGAGAAACGAAATGTCCTTGAAATCTATACATGGCATGAAATGTAAAAGTTGACGTCAAAAGCTCTCGATTTTCGCACATGGTGAGTAATTGAGGAATGGAAAATAAATAAAAATTTTGCACATCTGACTTATAAAAATTTAATTAAATAAATAAATATCCCCAATCGTAATCCCAAATTCCTTTGTACGATCTGAAAATTTGAATCATTGAGATTATAATTATTTTGTTAGAGTTTTACACTTATACATTTATTTAAAATGTTTTATCATAATTATATTTATAAAACATTTAATTGTTCACCTTTACTTGGCCTTCACGTGATAAGGCTCTCATACTAAGAAAATATTTTTAATATTAAAAATATAAATTTCATGCAATTTATTTTAATACGTAAATTTTTGTATTTTATATAATATTGCACTCCTGTCAATACATTTCATTCCTTAGACTTTGTGATAATGTCCTTTCATGACCATGCATCTAAACCATAAATATAAAACATTGAATTCTTGCAAGCAACTCTTCTGCACTCTAGTGTCATTAGACAATAATTTCCGAGCACTTTGCCATATTTTCAACTTGACGGATGTGTTGTCAGGCTTCGAAAATATGGCTGCCATCACGGGAAACGAATATAGCAGAATAATTCTCTGATATATATCAGAGTCCTTGAAACTATATTGAAGCTTTCTGTGGACGAACATCCGCTGGTTGGTGCGTCCGGTCGGTCAAGTATAAAAAGGGCCAGCTCAACTGACGGTTCCACAAAACATTCAACATGCTGAAGTTTTTAGCAACACTGTCGGTTCTCGTTGTCGCCGTCTCGGTAATAATATTTTCCTGGTCTCACCATTTTTTTTATTCAATCTCTTCCCGTTTGGCAGGCAAAACCACCAAAAGAAATGTGCAACCCTCAATATTTGATTGTCAGTAAACATTATTCGGAACAATTTCTAAAATGCAAAAAAACTTAATTAAATTCTATGAAAATTTTAGCAAGCAAAGAGTTGCTGCAGCTCATTGCCCAAGGTCTATACTGAAGATGATTTTAAGGCGTGCAAGTCAGCGTCACCTTTTAATGGTGCACCCCAAACTGGCGATAATAAATCAAGGACGAAACGCGAACCTGAACCATTGAGGCCAAGAAGTTGTTTATATTTATTTATTTATATTTGTTTTAAATGATCTTGATCAGGTGGACCAGGTGGTCCCGGTGGACCACCAGGTGGTCGCTTTGGGCCTCCATTCGTAAATATACTTCAATTAAGCTTTCATGAAATTGCCATTAATTAAACACAAATCTGCAGGCAGTGATTAACTGCATGCTCAAGAATAAGGGCCACGTAAGTTAAAAGATTGTATGCAATTTTATTTTATTATCATTAAAAGACCTTGCCGATTTTTGTACTATTTTTATTGACATACTGAATTGAAAAAAAAAGGTGGACGATAATTACGTTTTGAACAAGGACGCCCTCATTAACAGCTTCAGTGCAGTCGCTGAAACTGATGTCTGGAAATTCAATGTCACGAATGTCATCAATGAGTGCTTCAAAAACCTATCAGGTATTTTGCTCATCCCCCTTTTCTTGTTGATATTGAACCAGAAATCTCCACTGCAGCTGCCGCTTTGCCGGCTCCTCCTGCAGATGCTCCTGCTATTGGCAAACCTGATGGTCTCTTAGTGCTAAGTTGCATTCAGACAGGGCTTCTGCTTGTAAGAAATTAAATAGTAAATTTTCACTATGTGTATCTTAATATTTGATCAGAGCTGCCCCACTGCTGATAGGATAAATCTAGGTAAATTAAAAAATCTAAACTTTTTAAATTTTCAAATAGGAGATAGTAACTCTATAACATTTACAAGAATCTAAATTCTTAATGTTAATTGTTATTAAAATCAACGTTTCAAATAAAATTAATTAATTTAGTAATGTACCATACAATAAATTTAGATACCGTTCCTGTGGATAATCAGGACATTCCAAAAGAGATTCCCAAATTTCCTGCTGCAACTTGTAGCCAACGATTCGAGGAGCTCGGTCAATGCAATCCGTTTTTTGTCCCCAAGAGAAAAAATAGGGGTGCAAGGAAAGGAGACAGGCGCAGAAAACAGAACACGAAAATAGACTCGGCCGTAACTGGAAATTAGCAGAGTTGCTTAATCATGAATTAGCAATGAGCAAAATTCGATTGATTAGAAATAAAATTTTGAAAACGCATAAAAAAAATCTCAGACTGTTTTAGTTTTAAACCTTTATTATTTCACGCTATTTACTCTCAAATATTTGTGCTAATGATACTTCCACTTTAAATATTTGGAAACAGAGGATTGACTTTCTTTAACTTTCGCAATGAGCGATGCAAGTAAATTTTTTCGAAGGTAGTTTTTTTTCTAAGTTGCCGATTTATTCAAATAGAGAATAGAAAATTGCTGAGTGCAGAGCAAATAAAAGAATAAGAAAAACACATTGATCACATCAGAACTTTAGATTTTCATTAAATATTATTGAAAACGTGCTTATTTAATTGAATTTTACCCACGTAATAGTTTTTCTAGTTTTAGATACGATCAATTAATAATTACCTACATGTGCGGCAAGAATGAAAACAAAACATAATAATTTTGTAAAATGTTTGATTTTACTCATAATTTATTCACGAAGTTAAATGTCAATAAGGGTGCGCTTTTGACATTTGGAAACAATTGGTCCATTGTGGCTGCTGCATTGTGCGGGTGTGATATGCATTGCAAATGGGGCTGACTGATGCAATTCCCATGTCAAGTGCGAGAGTTGTCGGTGCTGCAATGGGCCTTTGTTCTCTCAGCAAATAAAGAGGAGCAGAAAGAATGGTACGTAGTTGCAGGACGGATTAGAGAAATAAAGATGGGTACAATGCGCGCGGATAAATCCATTAAGGGATTGAAAGCGGTGCAATTAAATGGAATAGAGGGAGGAGGACAGATTGGCGCAGTCCTCTGAAGCCCTGGAATTAAATAAAAAAATAAATTTTACCAATTATAAAATCAGTAAGCTTGAAACAGAAAGAGGCTGAGCACAAACGATAAATTGATAATATGATAATTAAATTCACTAATATAATTCAAAATTTCTCTGATTTTCTTTTAAAGATTACATAAATTGTACATAAATTGGATGAATCGAATGATATTAAACAATCTAAAAGCTTTGCACAAATAAAACATTGAAAAAGGAAATAAAAGGGTAGAGAATATGTAATAAAAAGAAAATTTTCTGTTGTTGCTGTTTTTTTTTTTAATTACAACTACCTATTCATATTTAATTATTTATTTTCCATTAATAGACATTCATTAGAGGACAATGAAATATATACAACATATTGCATGGAATCAATACACCTAGATATAAGATTAAAACTAAAAACAAAAATCAGTGTGGTGGGTGGCATGTTTCCGCTATTTTCAAATTATTATATTTTACTTTAAATAACCTGGCTCTAAATAAATTATATAATAATGAAGTAATTTTATTTTTAATTATGTAATAGATACAAATTCTTACGAAAACAAGAGGTAGAAAGATACGCGGGAGACAAATATACTATACAAAAATAAAAATAAAGCAAAATTATAGACACTGAATTTGTGAAAGTTTCAACTTTTGAACTGGAGCTTGAAATGACATTCTTACAAAATCTCAAACCTTTTTGAATAAGAAAAAGCTTGTCATGATTAAAAATTGAATCTCCATAAAACAAGCATTGCTTGAGCCATAAGGCAGACCCTCTGTGATCCTCTTTCATCAGTAAACACACAGCATTTTGCCGCTATTTATTTTATTTCGCAGAGGGCTGGTGGAAGAGAGAATCGCTCGCAGCGGCTTAATGAGCTGACTGCGCGTCTGCGAGCGGCCAATAGTTTTTAAAGTGCGATATCATGAACATCAGGCGGCGGGTGCGCGTCACTTGGCCAAAAGTTCATTACGTGTGTCGGAGAAAAACTCCCTGGAGAGAGTCGGAGGAAAAAAATACGCAGGAGAGAAATGAGCGAATCAATATCGACGCGGCAATCATCAGCGAGAGAAGCAGCAGCAGTTACACTCGCCCGACGAGCGTGTAATGGACAATTCTTGTCCCGATATCGATTCCTAATATTTATTCCCACTGGCTGCGTTCTCCTCCGACGGCTTTTCGCACGTGCCAAGCTGCTCTCGGCCGGCTGGAGTAATGCATGAGAAAGAGGGTTTAAAGGGCTTTCCGTCTCCAGCTCGTCTCGCTGGTGCAGAAAATTTCGGCAGCTTGCGGAAAGAATTCAAAATCCCATTATAACACTTACCATTTATTTAAATCTATATTATCAACAAATAAAAAAAACATGTTATAGTAACATTATACCGATATTAATGGTCAATTAAAGATTTTAATCTAATCTAGACATGGCATGAAATTATTTTTATTAATCTTTTGTTTTACTCGTGACAATTTTTTTAAATTAATTTACAACTGAATTTAAACAATGTATATAATTAGTAACAATGTCGATAAATAAACATCAATAAAAATAATTAATTACAAGTTTAAAACAAGCTCCTTACTTTAAAAATAAATTTCTAGTTTATCGCTCATATTTAACTTGATGAGAAGTGAGTTTTTTTCAAAGTCATTTCTTACTTTCCACTTTTACCACCTCTTATAATAAGGATTTTCAATTCTCTCAAGGAAAAAATTCGTTCATTTCGCATCGGCACTTCCACGAATACAATTTGCACGTGGCACTCAAGATGCTCACCGGAAAATGAGAAAAGTTTTGCGCGCGCAAAAATAATAATGTAAAATATTGCGGGTGGAATATAAAACGATTCTTTATTCGCGTATAATTTGATTTCCAGCAGCGAAGCTAGAGGGGAAATAATAATTTCTTCGGGGGATTCGGCACTCATGCGCGAGCGAATTTTAATGCTCGCGCGACTTCTTAACGCGCTACTTTTGAATTATGCGGCGGCTGTTCTGGCGAGCAAACTTTCTTAATATGAGGGGTGCGAGACCGCAGTAGTTTTTTTCCGGCCCCACCGGCTCCAATATCACGAGCACATTCTGGCCTCGTTAGCATAATTTGCGAAGGAGTTGTGGATGTAAACGCACGTCGTTTAGCGCACAACAGCTTAGGGGGCAAGTGACCTGGAAAATTGGACCGATCGAATCAACTTGTGCTGCGACTCACATACGACAAAACTCAAAGTGCATGCAACATCGACATCATTTAAATTGCATGAAAAATATCTGACGCAAAAAAAATATTATATAATTTTTTATTTGTTGAATTAATGAAGAAGTATGAAAATTATTTCATAATTTACGTTATTTTATAATTGTAAGAGAAACGCAAATTAAATCTTATAATAAAATTGTAATTTGATACCGTATTTAAAAAGCAGACATATTGAATTAAAAATTAACTAAAATCTTGTTTTAAACATAATTTAATAATTTAAAAAGGCGGCTTTTCTGTATGTTGTGCTGCTTAAATAATATATATAAAATATCAATTTATAATTACCTGAATTCCCTAACTTGCTTTGCATATTTTTAAAAACTTTCAAAAATTCAGTTGCTTAAAATTCAAATTACATAGACATTTTCCATCAGAGTTGATGGCACAGGGCACCGATTCATTCCGGTGGCTGATGTGCTGTCGCACCACGGAAACATGGCCGATATATAAGAGGAAATGAAAATGACACTAATGATTCTCGGGAAAACAGAGAGAAGGTCCTTGAAAGTGACTAGCGGTTTGATGATGACTCAGGAAAGGAAGCGTCCGGTCAGACTAGTATATAAGGGGGGTCTGCTGGTCCATCGATATCACAAGCAATTCAAGTTTCAACAATGCTGAAGTTGGTTGTAGCTGCACTCGCTCTAGTGGCCGTCGCCTTGGTAAATATATGTCACCCTGAATATGATTTTTTACTTTTGCTACTGTAACATTGCCTAGGCGGACCCGCCAAGAGAGCTCCTGGACAACCCAGACTTCTGCAATCCCAAGTTCTTGATGGTTTGCTTTTAATTTGCTAGAGTGTCTATTCAGAATGTTAAACCGGCCATTGTAGCAAGCTGAACAGTGCTGCAGCACTTTGCCCAAGGTTTTCAAAAAGGAAAATTTTGATGCTTGCATGCCTAAGGATGGTGCTAAGAGCGGTGAATCTGGTGAGGCTGGTGGGGCCAAGTCGAGGAACAGACGCTCACCCAAGAAAGGCGGAAACGGAAAAGACAAAAGTTCGTCTTGATAATTTCTAGTCTTTTGACCCTAAAATTTCAAAAAAATTCCTAAAATTTTTTAAAACTTCAAAAGGCCAAAGACAAGGGAAGTCAGGACCTGGAGGAGAAGGACCTAGGGGCCCTTGCCCACTCGTAATCTACCATAGCTAAATTCTGAACACACTGTTTAGGTCTAAAATAATAATTGCAGGCAATTGCCCAGTGCGTTTTGAACCAGACTGGCAATGTAAGACTAGTTGAAAATTTTAATTTTTAATGTTGCGATTTTGAAAAACTGAACACTAAAATCAAACAATGGGCATACGTAGATCAATGCTGATGGTTCCGTTGTGCAATCAGCCGTCCTTAAGAGCTACCAAGATGCGGCCACGACTCAGGAATGGAAGGATTTGGCAACCAAAATCGTCAATGCCTGCTTTGATAACGTGACAGGTTTTAAATAATTTCGCAGGGTTATCACAAAAATTTCATAAAATTGACTGTTGTCAGCCACCGTTAAAAATTTGCCACCACCACCCGCAGATGCACCTAAACCTGCCGATGGCAAGATGGTTGCGCCAAATGCTCTCTTGACAATCGTTTGCATCCAGACGAACCTTTTCATTGTAAGCTGTAGCTGAAAAAAAATCTGTCTTCTTAATTTTAATTTGTGTAGAACTGCCCAACTTCTGATCGTACTAGCACATGTAAGTAATAATGTCTTACATTTTGTAAAATTTGCAATATTAAGCTTGAAAGTTAAATATTTATATCAATAACATTTAACATGCTGCAACATGCTAAAGATTTTAAACAAAGGCACACTTGCCATGATTGAGATTCATTAAAAAATTACACACAATGAATGATTTCATAGGGTGATGTTCTTTAGCATTTTAAGTCTCTCATTTATTTAAATTTTTATTTCAAGATGGATATAAATTATTTTCACCCTTAAAATTGTTTGTTGAATAAAATTTATTATGGTTGAAAAATGCAGTGGCTGCTGGTGAACCTGATACCTGTGACACGCGTTACACCAAGCTTGGAAATTGCAACCCAATGTTCTTGCCCAACCCCAAGGACATGAAGAAGGGAAAAGAGAATAAGGGAGGAAGGGGAGGAAAGGGCAAGTCAGAGAAGTCGGTAAAGAAGGAGAAGAAGAGCAAGTCCAACAAGGAGAACAACAAGCAATAAATACAAGTCTTGAATTGGAAAAGAGCTTGTGATAATTATGATTGATTGGAAATAAAAATTGGATTTAAAAAATATAAAATTTTGGGCATTTTAATGTTATCAATGGAACTTCACACAAATGTTATAGAATTAGTATCAAAATTGAGGAAATTTGCTATATTTGATTAAAAATATTGTAAAATATAAATGATATCCATTGCTTTCTATTGGAGATCTGGCTAGAGTTGTGCTACGCACTTCTCCAATGTCAAATACCCAAATGTAATTCAAAATGCAGTTATTGTACATAAATTAAATACACATTTTTTTATTTACTTAGTCTTCTGTAGAATATGCAAAAACAATCCTTTTGAGATAGTAAAAATCCTGAATTTAGCTAACTTTCAAATTTAATAATACTTACACTAACAATAAGGCTGAGAATTATATGACATGCTTATCATTGGAGATAGAAATCAGGTGCGAAAATTAAAATATCATGATTTCTAATTCATGTTTCAACAAAATATTTGCCAGTGGTTGCATTCAAACTTTGTAAGCACTCAAAATTGAAAATACCATGCGTGCACGCAGTGCTGCGGCCAAACAGAAAAGAGGCTCCGGCCGCAACCACTCTGCAAAGTTTGCGTTTTCCTGGGTTCGAGGCCATTAGCCCGCTGTGCACAAGTCTCTCTCACAAACAGATGACAAAGGGCTAAATGGATAAACAGCTCGGAAGCCGCACGGAATGTGAGCGTTTCGGGTTCGCTGGTTTGTTAAATTGTTAACGACGCGATGCACCCACTGCAAGTGACTGGCACATGGATAAAAATCGCAGATTAATTCTTTCCTCAAATCTCGCTGCTCACGAATAAATCCATATCGCAGGCAAAGCAAAGGGCAGCTTTTTACTGCCCAAAACTTTCGCCGCCAAGAGTTCCGTGTTCTCTCTTGAGAAAAGTTGTGGGAGCCGCAGCCGCATCAGCGATGAGCCAATTAGCCGATGGTCAAATAGAGAAAATGGCTTGATGAGGAGTTGCTTAACGAGCAGATCAAAGGCCGCTCTCTCTCGGCTGCAGACGTGCCCTCCCTGCGCCACATCCATAATGGCAATAATTGGAGTCCTCTCGAGCCTTCGCCGCAAAATACTGCTCCTTGAACTTCTCCTGCTCCTAGTCGGGCCCAGCCTAAGATTCGAGGTGACTTTTGCACAGAGCAACTTGGCTGCACGCAGAACCAATCAAAACTTATTTGCTCTTGAAGTGCAGAAGGGTATGCGTAGACAATATTGGACCATTACGAAAAGCCTGAATAAGTATATAAATTTTGGCGCATTCATTTTAATTTTGCTTTGGAAAACGAAGATTAAATAGTTTAAAATATTTAGTTTTCGCCGTAAAATTATATTTCAAAATAATTTTGACTGAGCAAAAATGTGATTTGATAACTGGGAATGAGTAAATCGCAATTCACTTTTCTTTTAAATATCAACTATTTGTTGTATCACATTAAGTATTATTTTGCTTCAAAGTTTTTTTTGATCTCCCTGATAGCAAAATTCAATACTTTGGTTGGGCCATACATTACAGACTTTCGAGAGAAAAAATTAAGCTTTTTACATAATTGAAACACATATTGGTTTGAAAAAGAAACACGGAATAAAAATGAGTGTTTGGCGACGTTTTGAGCGGTACTGAAAATATCCCTTAAAACCAGATCATGCTCATTTGAAAAACTAATATATTTCTTTCAACAACGTTAAAAATAGTTAGTAAATTATCAAATTTTTAGCTATAAAATCTTAATTCTATAAACAATTAAATTTCAATGTGTTATTGGTTTTAAAATGATCTGAAATTTAACTTATTTTTATCGAAAGCTGTAGACTAAAATTTCCTTGATCGTTGTTAATTTTAACGATCTGCAGGAGACATACCCATTTTATTCGTGTTTTGTCTATTGGATAATTTTGTGCCGTAAGTTTTAATTACACATTTTATATATCTCTATAATATTTACATATTCCAGCGCAAAATTATTCTTGCTTTTAGTTGATCTGCAATTATTCAGTGAGGGGATTAACCGACAAATTAATATTCGCGTCGGGACGTGAGCAGGACTGCAAACGCAGAGATTTGGTGTTGCCGAATTCCAACATTAATCTCAGCGCATTCGAATTCGCCGGCTCACATACATAAATTTGCATTTAATGCTGGGTGAAATTATGATAATAACCAGCAACCGTTCATTCGTTCGCTCGCTCACGGCAATAATTTGCGTTCCGGCGCAGCTGCAGCGCCTAATACATTATTTTAAGAGCTCAATGCGCACACACACGCCTATATAAATTTCGCAACGATGTATAAAGGTTCCGTGCTATTAAGGCAGTGCACCTGTAGCCCTATGTGTAGTCTTGTTTACACGAAACAATATTCGACGGCGCCCATACGAACACACGTGACGTCAATATTAAAGCACACGCGTCGCGCCATTCCATTTGAAATTTAAATCCGGCCGCACTTCTCCCTCAAGCCGCCGCCACCGTCTGCCCGGAGGCGAAATACAAATCGATTCTCTCGTGACAGATGAAACGTACGCAAATCTTTCGCGCAAGGATTTTTAGGCTTTCAAATATTGGATTTGCAGTATCGTCTCCCAATATTTAACGCTACCACTTGGATTCAAAATGAAACATTTTTCCGAATGTTTTCCCTGCAACTTCCGACGTGTTTTACACAAAAATTTCCCAACGCAACACAGGTTTTCCGGACACGTTTTACAAAAGTAAAATACAGTGTTGTTGTCACTAAATTTTTCCTCCGTAAATATTTGCTGAATTTTGTGACGTTAAAAAGCTAAAATTACTGTGAATAACCATATTTAGGTATTTTTTTTTCAACTAGAAAAGCTGATTACAATTTGCATTATGAAATTTTAGTGAAATGAAATAAGGAAATTATTTGTTTGAAGAAGTTGACACTCGAGGAGATGATCATGGAAATTAAGATATTTCAACCTTTTTATTAATTTTTATTAATTTTTTAAAAGATTTCTGGAGAGGAAAAGGAATCAAATGTTTATTTTTTATTCTTTCTTTTCATGGGTTGTTAAAACAATATGAATATTAATTGATATAGACTTTTAATTTTTTATTATATTTTGAGCGTAAAAGGATATTATGTTTAAGGACGAAATCAACTTTATTTTCGTATATTTACGATAACTAAAAATTTCCTGTGTATCTTGAATTATTTAAAGCATAATCTTACAATTATTTACTTAACTTTAGGAGCATTATTTTTTTGTGTAAAAATATTATAAAAAAAATAGTTTTTAATTTTATATTAATGTATTATATTATTATAATCTAATTTTATGAAAAAGCAAGATAATAATGATTATTTTTTATAATTTTAACAATAAAGAAAAGTTCTTTATAATCGTTAAATTGAACAAATTGTAGCTTGCGTGATTACATAAATTGAGAACAATTCCTGCATCATCCCATGTGTCTCAATGCAAATAATCCTGAATCCGCGCATGTGTTATGGTCGAAATTAGTTATCACATAATCCCATCGGACCGCAAATCCCTGATTTTGCAAATGGGCAAACTTTCAGCAAGCAGAACGTGGCGGCAGGAAAACGCCAAAAAGCAGATTACATAGGGAGAGCACCGCAATAGCGTACAATCCTGTTTTCATCCTAATGACTTCCACAATTACAAAGTTGCCCCATTAGGCGACGAGCGAGCTGCGGAGAAAGTTTGCAAAACCGCGACGAAATTAAAAAGAAAAGGATCTCCCGCGAGAGAGAGAGGAGGGATTAAATCGTCGTCGATCGTCGCAAACAAGACAGGTGGTGTCACAGCGCACCGATGAGAGACAAGTAAGTAAGTTATTTCTGCTCCCTGAAAGAAAAGCGGCAGGTGTTGCCGCTCTTCATGATTAGCCGCGTCGCTTTCAAAAAGATCTTGTGTTTTGTTTGGCCCTGCGAGCCGAGCCCTCTCGTAAAAACGTCGCAGCCTCCCTTTGAACAAAAGAGGCACAAATCATTACACACAAGCACGGAATCTTAATTTTTAAACAAACTCGAAAGCTTAATGGTGTTTGAATGAGTTTAAATTCCTCACAAATTAGCCCAAATCCGTTTCACTCAGTATTTTAAAAGCTCGAATTAATCCACCTAAAGTTGTATTTTTCTTTTTTAAAAAATCTCCACTTTGTTCTTCCAAAAGAAAGGTTCGAAAATAGAATCGTGCTGTGATGTTGACTGATGAAAATTTCATAAGGCTGACTGTTTTCCTCCTTCAAAGAGGAAACGGCTGAATAATAAAATATAATTTTCGCGCACATCAAACGCAGCCGCACTCATTCGGCGTGACAGATGCTCGCAGAAAACGCCCTCAGCCGGAAAAAAAGACTTTCTATTTTTTTCACTCTCGCGTGTTTGTCTTTCAAATGTATGGAAAAGCTGCAGGTGAGCGCCGCCGACGGGGAAAAATCAATCCGAAAAGAAAAGCTGCAAAATTTTATCGCTTTCCAATCCACTTTGCGCGCCATCATTTGATGGATGGAAAGCTCGAGTGTTTTTGTCATTCCTCCGCAAGCTCCATATTTTCATATTTTCCGCGCCAGCTTTTTCCGTTCGAGCGGCAACTAAAATTTATTACGCCAACTCCATTTTCAATCCCATAATGCGCGCTGCCTACTTTTATTTGATGCATGTTTATTTGCCCGCCGCAGCGCCCACGCCCGCAGGTATACGCACCACTCAAAAATTTGTGCGGCTGAAAATCGAATTTAAAGAGGAGAATGTTGAAAAAGAAATAATATTATACATTATGCAAATGTTTTGTTTCTTTTCACGGTTTTTTGTTTTTGTTTTTATGTCAAAATTTTTAAATAACATGTGATGTAAAAAAATTTAAAATTTCAGATGAAACATTTTTTATTTTGATAAAATTTTATTGAATGCTCCATCATAAAAACCAATCTAAAGAATTTATCTCCTCTCACAAATCCCTTATAAAGAAAATCGTGAAATTAAGACCATTAAAACCAGGCTTACAATTAGTCTTTGTTTCAA